TGGCGGCACTCGCTGAGCCCGGGCGCTTCAGCGCCGGAGCAAGTTTCCCCCTTTAAGGGGTCCTCAGGGGACAGGCGGCGTGCCAGCGGGCCCCTGCTCTGATCACCTGGCTACCAGCTGAGCTATAATCCTCCGTCTTTTGCGCTCCCAGACACAGCTGGAATTCCTAAAATCAGTGCTTGCAAAAGCGTTACTCTTAGACGTCAGAAACACTGTTTGAAGTCACTGTCATTCTACTTTCTTTTTCCCTTTCCTGGTAAATACCTAATTAAACACAAAACCCAGACGATATTTTTTTCCTTCAGGAGCGCGCTGGATTTTCTCGAGCAGCTCCTTCACGCTTGCTGCAGCCCGGATGACACCCGCGTTTGACAAATGACTCTTTCCGTGCGGAGTTCAAAGTACAGATCCTTGCAGCACGTCTCGCTCTTCAGGCCTCTGAAGCGCTCCTCTCCGTCTCTTGCAAAGAATAAACAAGGTTGTGGTACTGAGTGTCCAACTGCCCTTCGCGGGGGGATCGCTACGAGTCCTCCTGTGCAAGCAAAACAAGAAGCGGTTAGCACCTGAAGGAGCTCTTTTGGCCCCGAGTCCAGCATGGGCAAGAACTGTTTATCCAGACATCGAGACTTTGCCTTTGAAGCTGCACTTTTGCTGTCAGGCTCAGGATTGCTCAACTGATGACCGCTTCGATGCATGGAAACAACTAGTGCCTCTTTCCTGCAATCATCGCACAAACTCTGGCCGTTTCACGCAGAGAAGCCTGACTTCCTCTTTTGCAACGGTTATTCTCAGCAGCCCTCAGAAGATCGCTTCACCTGCGTTTGCGAAGCGCTCTTACGTCTGACTTCCAAGCCCCACCAGCTTAGGCAGTAGAGCTGACATCTACCACAGGGGAAAAATCTGCACAGGCTAGCTTTAATTTTGCATGATTTACAAGGAGCTTGGTTAGCTCCTAAAGCTCATTTTCCAAATTCAGTTTTACCTGCAGCAACCCATCGGTGCCCGTGGGCGAGAACGGGCACCACTGCCAACCGCACCGAGTCGCTCCGCGGCTAGCGAGAGCCTCGCCGCAGCCCGCAGGACGACTGGCAGAAAGCGGCTTCCCAGCAGTAAGAACGCAGAAATCTAGGCAAACGGGGAACGCAATTAAAGCCCAGAAATATTTGGGTTAGCAGGACCGGGCACGCTGCTGTGCTGCTGTGCAGCCTCTGCAATCGGGGGGTTTGTACGGCTCTTTAGGGCAGCATTTGGCCCCAGGCGGCTAAAAGGCAGCGACGAGAGAGTGAGCGCCCTGAAGATGGATGAGAGAGCAGGGAAACACAGTATCTTAGACAGAAAACGAAGGCCAAACCGAGCCGAATCCGCTGAGATCTGTCAAAACCAAGGCGGGGGCACGGCCCCCTGCCGGGAAAGGCGCGGACCCTCCGCCGGCGCTGCGCGCCACCTGCAAGGACGGGGCGAGCGATAGCGGGGGCGAAGCGCGCGGCCGGCCCCAGGCGGACAGCGCGGGCCAGCGGCGTCCAGCTACGACCAGTATTATGACAGATGTTTCCAGTCGTGTATCAGCGACCTTGGGGAAGGAATGCGCAGCTGAGGACACAACTCTTGTGGGTCAGTCAACACAGCCGAGGAGGACGACATCCAGGATGCCCCAGATAAACCCGGAGGGGTGAGTCAATAAATGAATAATCTAACATAAAAGAGGACAACGAGATACAAGGAGGCAGGAGAGAAAATACAATGAGCCCCATCTGTAGGCCGAGAATTTTGTCGCTGGCAAGACGTTATTCATAGGTTTCACTGTTCAGATTTTAGGAGCTTAGGCCTGTAGTCCAGATCGGCAGCTTCAGGACTTTTCACGTAGCACCGCAGTGATTAGGAACATAAGTCAGTTAATAATTCATAGTCCAGAGCTTTAATTTACAAACTTTCATCCAAAGACCTCGAAGCTTTCTGCGTGTGATTTAAGAGGGCGCGAGAGGCAGCCTTGCGGCCGGCTACGCCGCCGAGGCGAGAGGGCCGTGCGGGCGCCCAGCAGCCACCGCCTCGACAAAAGTGCTCACGAGTCCAAGCCCCCATTTTGTGCCCTAACCACAAAACCACAGCTAATCCCTCATGCACTGAGCTGCAAAACAAGAAGAACCTGGATTGGGTATGTGGACACGTGTGACTGGAGCTAAATTATTAATATTTTCCCACCAAAAAAATTCCCTTTGCAATTTCTTTGGAAATCCTTTCCGATTTCGTCAGAGGAAGGGCTCTGCAAGCAGGAGCATCCCTTCCTTCTTGCCCTGCTTCCCCCGAGGGCAGAGAGAGGCCTCCAAAAGGTCCAAGAGGCGCCCAAAAGGTCTAACACGCTCCTGCAAAGCCCAAGCTCCGCTGGACCGACCTCAGCATGGACTCAACCACCGGCTGCACAGGAACAGCCGTCAATTCACCCTGATGGGTAAATCGGACCTCGGCCAAGAGTAGACCTCGACCTCATCTTTCTGGGAGGGCTGAAGACCACGGGAAAGAGATGGACGCTCCAGTCCCTGCAGGTCCGGCGCACGGAGCGGACACGGCAGCACAGCACGGAAGAAGCTCGTCCTGACGCTGCTCGCGAAACACCCGTCCCCTGCGCAGCAGCCTGGCCGCCCGCTCGGGGGCCCCGCC